CTCGCACGCGCGAGCACGGAGGCAACAAGCCTTCCCTACCCCAAACCAAATGCTGCACCCTATGTCCCGCCAAGTTCACTCGAACGACGCATCTGAATCGGCATTTGCGGACCCGTACGTGTGCTCGTTTCACATCCGAGTCCTTTCGCTCAACCGAGGCAAAGATACGAATGACCGCGTTCATCGTTGCGATGTGCGTTCTCTTGCACTTGCCCTTCCTCCCAAGGACATTGCGCTTACAATATACGGCACAGATGTGCCAGATTGCAGAGTTCACGAGAAGCGACCTGCTAACGCGGCATAAGCGTAGTTGTGGCCGGTGTGTTTCTGTTTTCAAGGAGGGGGTTCCAATGACTCATGGAATACAGGAAAGTTCTCTGTTCTCGGCGGAAATCATGCGAGGTGCGAATCAGCGTTTGTCGCATGCGTACTACTAAGCGTATTTCTTCCAGGCTTGTGCAGAGTCCAAGATCAAGTGCAATCTCCAATGGCCTTGCACGAAATGCACCATTCGAGGACGCCAATGCGTATTCCTCAACGATCCGGAGGAGTCGAAACTAAAGAAGGCTTCTTCACGTTCTTCAACTGCACCCAGTACATCGCCCAGTCCGCACTCGCACGGCCCGTCACGAACTGAGCCCTCTTCGCCGTCGTCCATCCTCTCTAGCCTCCCATCTCTGTCACCGTCAGCGTCAGACTTTTCTGACTGCGAATCCCCTTCGACTTGCGGCGGCCCATCGACTTCCTCCATGCCGCCCCAGCTGCTGCAATCACCCTTCACCTCAGAGTTTGACTTTGATCTTCCTGACGCTGACACGCCAGGCTGCTTCGACTTTTCGAGCTTCGACATGGACGCTGATGCACGGAGCTTTGCGGAGCTGCTGGCGCTCATCCAATCGTCCCCTCCGCTGTGCGCGGACACATCGTTCCCCACGCTCGGGCTGTGCGGCGAGGGGTGGACTCGGAACGACAGCGAAGAACTTTCGATGCCGCCACCAGCAGCTGCAGCATATGTGGACATGAACTGCCGCGATATCTATCGTACGTCCCGCGCTCCCTTTCTGCCTGCCCGTCTATCCATCTATCATCGTCTTGGTGTTGGCTCGATGCCCGCATTCAGTTGACAATAATCTTCTTTCCTTGTTTCTTCGAATGCGTTCCTATTTTTATTCCTCTTTCCACTCGTACTTTCGTCCTGGATGGTCGGTTGATTGACCGACGTTCCTTGGCTTTCCCATTTGCATTTGACAATGATCTACGCTTTCCTTTCCTTGCTCCTCTCGAACTTCTGCTTACCCCCTCGACAGTTGATCCATGGCCATGGCCGTTCTACACGCACCAGGCTCTCGAGGAGGTCGTTCCTAGTCCGACATGGACGATGCCATACACATTCACCGACAGCGAGGCATTCGACCTACAATTTCCGGGCGACGTTGAGATAGCTGGGACTCTCGCACCGCCCGAGGGCCACCCAGCACCCAATCTCCACACGCGGCCCGCTCCTCAGTCTCATCAACGTCATGCTCCCGAGACACATACCGTGACGTCTGGGTCCATCCTCTTCGGCGGCGGTGGAAGTATGCGCGCGAGCCTGAGCCCGAATGGCGTTTAATCGAATGGGGCTGCAGATTCTCATTCACATTCGCATTCGGCTGGTACCTGCTTCACGCGGCAACTCTTGTTATCGTTATCTTTTTCATTATGTCCCTGTCGTCTGCCAAGTCAAATCCCAACTTCGATTGTTTGTTTGTTTGCCAGTTATGCGATGCACAGTCATGGAGCACCTGCTGTCGGACAAATCTCGCTTGGCGTGGTTTGTCCCGACGATGGATATTCTAATTCACAAGCGTCTTCATTCATTTTATAATCTACGCGACAATTATCAGCTAGGCTGGAGTGTTATCGGCAACTACCGTTGTCCGTCAGCACAGAGGGAGAGAACGAAGTAGAAGATGCACGCACTGAAGAAATGCGATTCCAGGGTTTTAGGCAAGTCAGACAAGATTTTAGCCAAGGGGTCGGACGCCGGATAGCTGCACCATGGCCATTTATCGCTGTTGATCCTACACGCTACCAGAGTTTGCCTCACGGCGCTCACCCGCTCATACGTCTTGTGCAGAGGGAGGTTTGCAGCACCATAAATCGCCATACTCCAGGCGGTCGCGAAAGCAGTCACACAGTTGACTTCATGCGGTTGGCCACCACCGTGAGGACACGGTCCGCTCAGGGCAATAGGTTTGCTCACGAAATGAGCCCACGCGGAGGAAAGCGAGTAGTACGCCGCCAGGACGCGCTGCATGTGGATCGGCGCCATGTTGGGATTGTTGAATGGCGTGGGCTGCAGCGGGCCTGTGAGATCTCGGGGCTTGAGAAGCCGCTCGAGCTCATACGTGTAGAGCTCCGTCAAGAATTGCGGCCGGGTCTGTTCGTGCACGACATCCATTGCGGGACCAGAGGGAAGTTCACCGCGAAGGATGCGCTTGAGCCACTCAGCGCGGATGTTGTTTTCCAAGGTCGAATCACCGAGCTGGATCGCCGTCTTGAAAACGCCCGCGAAGTCTTGAGAGCTCAAAGAACCGGCATCCGCGGAGACTACCTGGCTGAGCACGCTGGTGCACCAGTCGACCCACCCCTTCATCTTGTAGTTGTGAGCCAAGCGAGCGACCGAGGTGATGTTAGGCAGGTCGGCCAGAGGGATGGCATTCGGCAGCATCTCAAAGGCTCTGAAACAAGTCAGGGGGAGAAGACACTGCGAAGCCGACGCCGCACGCACGGTTTCATCATGTATGTCAGAAGGCGGGCGAAATCGGACGCAGAAGCCCCCTTGAGGCGAATGGGATCGTCGTCGGAGGCGCCCTTCGCCTCCTCGTTGTGACGAAGAACGCTGAAAAGCGTCGCGAATACCGGTGAGTCACGTATGAGCAGAGACTTTTGAACCTGGATAAACGATACGGTCAGCGCTGTGTTGGCCAGTGGCATCCTGCCTGTTTCATACGCACTTTGAAGAGAGTGTCCTCGACGCGGAGGATACAAAATTCCTGGTAGAACTCCGGGTGGCGGTGGGCAGGTCCTTCGCTATCGGTACTGCGGAGCTTGGTTCCAACGGCAGCATCAGGTTCGCCGGCGCTCATGGTGGCAAGATGAAAGGGTCAGAGGAAAGGGGCGTCTCAGCTGGCCAAATGCGGAACTGCGTGATGATCAATGACACACTTCAATGACGAAGATCTGTGACGGTCTGTGATCCGTGACATTCCCACCACCATGTCCGTCAAGTGCGTCCACGGTCCACGTCTTCAGGCCGCCGCTGAAATCCTGGCAGACATCTAGCTAGCTGCATCTTCTGCAAGATCATCAAGGGTGCGTTCGTCGATCCCTCTCGGCTTGCCAGCGCTCATGCACAGGTACCTGACAGGCGATATCCCGAGCTACAAGCTCGTCGAGACCGAGTTATCGTAAGATCTGCTGCTCAAACTATCGTGTGTGAACTCAATTCCCTCCAAGCTTCTCATTCCTCGATATCGGGCCGCTCTCGAAGGGCCATGCGCTAGTCATTCCCAAATGTGTGTTATTAGCCACCCAAATGCCACGTCAGCCGCTCATATATCGCGATTTTAGACCACGCAGAGAAACTGCACGAACTCCCGGACGAGTACCTCGCGGACGCCATGCCCATTGCCAAGAAAATCGCTCTGGCGCTGGGCGCCGAGAACTACAACATCTTGCAGAATAACGGACGGCTCGCGCACCAGGTGCGTTATCTCTTTCCTAATACAAACCCGGTACTGATCCACAGAACAGGAAGTCGACCATGTGCACTTCCATGTTATCCCCAAGCCGTCGAAGGAGGAGGGGCTGATAGTCGGCTGGCCTGCGATGCAGCTGCCGAAGGAGGACATGCAGAAGATATACGATGAGATCAAAGGGAAGCTGTGAGCGTCTCGATTATAGCAAAGATAGCGGAGAATTGTCCGCTCCAAATACTACTAGTACTCCCGCCGGTTGGCACTGTCGGATGGCAGACGATTTCGACTCGACTCGGAGCTCCAATCCTACTGGAAGTCATTCTCTGTGATGCTCAGATATGCTCTCAAATCGAAAATCCACCGACAAAAGATGTTCAACAGGCAATCCGGCAGTGTGGGTACAGATCTAGCATGCTCAGAAATTCCCGTCGAAATTATCGGCGCTCCTTCAAAACCGGCTGCAGCATCTGTGAAGACAAAAATTTCGGGAAAGTATCTTGTGCTGCGTCGACCTACATGCTGGAACTACAGCAGTCGCACACAACTTACAATTTAAAAGCCTGGGACTGCATGCTGCGCCGACCCAAGTACATACAGGAACGAGGCGACCACGTTATCCCCATGCCACTGGTTGGCACTGTCGGAGGGGATCGTATTGGCAACGCTCTGTATGTGCTCCGACGACGCACCGTCCCGGGCCGTTAAGGGAATTAGGTAAATTGTTCGCAGCATCGTCAGACTGCTGACGTTGGTGAGCGCCATATCTTCCCTCCACCTGCGTCTACCCTCTTGAAATAAAGTGTAACCTATGTACCACTCGTCCAAGAGTGTGCCTAGGAAAATTTGAGGTGATCTGATGAAAATTAGCGTCGGCATAAAAATCGTGCAGCCAAAAAATCAACTGTTTTGCTCCCGTAATGATTTCTGCCCCAATTCTCATCCTTTCACTCCGAAATTTTCTTGGGGGCATACTGAGACCCCTTTTCAACGCCCCACGCGTTCAAACTGCATGGATGCAAGCTGTGACAGAATTTGTGTTGGTGATCTCATCATTTTAGTTCGCCCGACTGATCTCGCTAGAACTCAACAATGGCTCGACGAAAATAATTGAGATTTGGATATGTTGTGTAAGAGAGTGTGTACTGTCGATATATATAAAAATCTGGGCCCGAAGGTGTCAGTGGAGGTGGTTATCGGCACCGGAGATGATGTTTGCATCAATGTTGTCAAAAGAGTACGTTCCACACCTTCGCCGATGGGTTCGTGGCGCAATGGTTAGCGTGTTTGGCTTCGATTGCCTCCGCACGGTGACCAAAAGGCTGCAGGTTCGAGTCCTGCCGAGCTCAGTCTTTTCTCGCCCATTCCACGCCGCTCGAGACCTATTCTCTGTTTCAACTTTCAAATGATGTCCCACGTATTTCTGTTCCAGAGAAGACATCTTTATTTTTGCCGCGACTGGAAAAAAACCTCTAAGGAAGGGACAGTGTCCTTTCCAAAGTCGTATGGTGATTTTGTAAGGGCCTTGTAAGGAAGAAATGCCTTATTGGATGTGACCAGGTACTTAGCCACACGCAATTCCAGGTCTGGCATCCTGGAATTGGTATCTAACTGAAGGCGGGGATTGTGGCTTTTAGAATATGGCCTTAAGTCGTCGAGAGCTGGGATATATATCGCCTGAAAAGTGCTCCCAATAAACACGGACTTTTTTTTTTTGGCAAGAAAATATTCCCTGTTGGCCGCAATTCTCACTCGATAAATCTGAAACTTTTCTGAGAACACGTAGAACATACGGGCAGTCAGTACGGGGTTTGTAAGTTATGAAGGTGATCATGATTCATGAACGAAAGGCAACAACGCACCTGAAGGCTGATGCGCCGACGAGGACATATATTGTAACTTCAAGTTCTCACCTTGTTTTCCTCGCGACGGGCATGGCGTCGGCGAGGTGTTGGTGCCTCTGCTCTTCTCTGCGTAATCTCTGCGTAATCTCTAACCGCAAGCGAGCTACAGTAAGTATAAGCGGCTGAACCGGAATAAAGATGTAAACCCAGTGGGGAAATGCGTGTGCATATGACGAGCGCTGGCATGGCGCCTCTCGAGAGTCGAGCCTGAGACCGAGTCGATCGCGATGTCGGATATCGATTGTCGAGGGAATGAGAAATCTTTCGCTTCAGCGTTCAGGGTTCCACACTGTGGCAATCCGTTGGTAAGTGCGAGTGAGTGAGTGAAACTTGACGCCGTCCGCGCGATTCAAGCTTGAAGCCCAGCGCAAGGTTTTGTTTTCCTTTTTTTTTTTGTGTCTGTCGGTGACGAGACCAACATGGCCACAAACGCGTTGTGCACTGTGCGGATTTCATGCCAGTGGTCGCAAAGCTCTCGGCATGCGTCGACGTATGCGAGGAGGACGGAAGGAAAGAGGGAGGGTGGGAGGGACGCCTCCTCGGATTGCTTGCTTGCTCGGTTCGGCGGTATTGACACACTGAAAGCGAGACGCGAACGCGAACGCGATAGACCGAATGGAAGGGTGGACGCGGTGCCGAGAGTCAATCAGCAAAAATAAAAGATCTTTTTGGGCGGGCGCAGAGCAAAATAACATCACTCATGTATGTGGGGTGGTCGAGTCAAAAAAAAAACCGCCGTCTCAAAACGTCTCCTCCTCATCCGCGCCCTGCTCCTGTTCGGGCACCTCGAAGCCGTCCTCGGTAGCGTAGAGCACTTTCTGAATTTCGCGCAGGGTGTCGTCGTCCAGGCCCTCCGCTTCGAGCTGCTCCGTCCGCGTCTGCACCATTACTTCGATGTCGCGCAACTAGCGTGGGGTCAGCGGGTGAAGGAGAAAAGAGAAGATATAACAACGCACCTTTTCAAAGTAAAAATCGCGCTCCTTCTCCAAACCCTCGATGTGGCCGGTGAGCTCACGGACTTGTGCGTTGAGCGCGTTGATCGTCGCGTCGTTGGGGGTGCCCGACCGATGTCCACTGACCGGCGTCCGAGTCGCCGCCCGGCCCGTCGACGACGCCGCTCTCGTTCCTCCCGCACCACCAGCCCCCATGCTCCGACCCACAGGCGCCAACGTCGCCGGTGGCTCGGCCGCTGCGCCCTTCCTCCTCGCCACAGCATCATACTCCCCGCCCGGATAATTCGCCTCCCAAAAGCGCTTCAGCCACTGCAGAAACTCGAGGTTATCCTGCATCTTGCATTTGACGAGTTTCTCGACCGGGATGGGCTTATCGATCTTCTTGGACTTGAAGACGCCCTGCATGATCTTGTAGTTTGCGAGGTACTCGTACTCCTGCTTTGCGCCCATCTTGACGCGCGCCATCGGGAGGTCGAGGTAGATGCTGTCGAGGATTTGGAGGTACGCCCCGCCCGTCCCGCACTGCTCCACCTTGGTGTAGTTGAGCTGCAGCAGGTCGTTCACCCATTGTAGGAGCTCCGTTCGCGACGCGCCGGCCATCGATGCTGTAGATTTTGGTGGTGTGGGTGTGGTGGAGGCGGGTGGTGGCAAAAGACAGAAGCGCGGTGCTCACATAAGCCCGGATACACGTGCCATCAGTGTGACGGATCAAATTGTAAACGCTCCGAGAAACTCTGCCTTATGCTCGGACTCCACCCAACAACCTTCTACCAACGGCTTTGCTCCCTCGAGAGAGGCGTTCCCTTATTGGCATCGTTGACCCTGGAGAGAGCCGACCCGTTCTCGGCGCTCAGCATCTCCGAGTCAATTATACACTCACTATTGCACAGACCGTCCTTCGTTGAATCGTTCTCACCGCCACCAGCTGCTCGCTGACTGGAGGCGTGAGCGTGGAAAAGGTTCGTCGCTGCAAGCCTTGGGGGCAAAGGCCGCATGCTAACCAATACATAGTATCCTCCCTCCCGGGCCACTGGCATAGCAGATTGACGCCGAGCATCGACTGTGCGCTTTGCATTGGCCACTCGTCGTAGATGGTGATGTCGCCGTCGGTGAGCATTCGACTGTAACCACTCTCCGAGGTCTTGACGGTGCTCTCCCGCTCTAGATCTTCAACGACGGCTCCTATCTACTTCCGCTTCGACAGCACCTATGCACGGCACTGGCACTCGCGCTAACTCCATCTGGAAGCTTGCGTGCGTCCGCCGTCGATCGCGATGACTCGTATCTCACTACTTACATCTCATGACACCTGATAGATACGATACTATAGTACCGCTTTCACATCATGACAGCCACCACCGAGTCCTAGCACTGACCCGAGTTGATTGCGGCCTGCGGTGCGCTAGCGACTTGTCATTCCGCTGGGACTAGGGCTGCTCTAAATACCGAGACCGAATGCCCGGGAGGGTTATTCTCGTTCTCGTTCTCGTTTCTTCCATCCGTCCCCTCCTGGCAGACATGTTCTTTGACATACTCAAAGATAGCCATGGCTTCGCTGACTGGCTCCACATACACGTGTTGCCCGTCCTGCCCGCGTCGCTCTCCCCCTTGCTGGCCGGTACCGATACCGGTAGCGCCATGAACCCACTGGCCGGGCAGATCGTCCCCATCGGGATCACCCTCCTTGTAGCAGCAGCATATGCCTACCTCAAGGCCAAATCCATCAACATCAAGCACAAGCGGATCCCCGGCCCCCGCGCGCTCCCGCTCATCGGCAACGCGCTCGACTGGCCGAGCGAGCACCAGGCCGTCAGTATGGCGCTGTGGCAGCAGTCTTATGGTACGTTTCTCCTTCTCCTTCTCCTCTCGTCTCTCCCAATCGAATCTCCCATCATCTCTCGTTTTCCATCGAATCTCGAATCTCAAGCCTGCCGCAGGACCCCTCACCAAACTCTCCATCCTCGGCAAGAACATCCTCTTCCTCACCTCGACCCGCGCAATCTCAGAGCTCTTCGTCAAACGCGGAGCGACCTTTTCCGATCGCCCGCAGCTCGTCTTCTCGCAGGAACTGTGCGTCTTTCCCCCTTCTTCCTTCTTCTTCCTTCTTCCTTCTTTCCCCCCTTCTTGCTCTTGTTATCCTATCCACTCAAACCTAACAGCTGCGGCATGGACGTCCTCCACCCAATGACCCAATTCGGGGACGACTTCCGGGACCAGCGTAAATTCATGAAAGAGGTGTTGGCGCCAGAAGTCCAGCGGCGCCACGCGGGCTTGCTCGATGAGGAAGCAAGGCGCCTGCTCAAAGCGACGTTCGAGAGGCCTCAGGACGCTGCGAGACATCTCCGTCGGTGCGTCTACTAGTTACCTACTACTTGAAACCGCCCACGCTGACTCGGATTCGCGCATAAAATGAAGATTCTCCACGTCCTTCGCCCTCCGCATGGTCTACGGCCTTCCGGCGCTCGAAGTCGACGACCCGAACGTCCTGCTCGCAGAAGAGATGATGGCGTTATCCGAGTACGCGATCGTTGGCGGCTGGGCGGTGGATTTCATACCAGCGCGTGCGTTTTTCGTCTTTTCGCTCTCTATGCCCATATCCCTACTGATTCACCCGAAGTCAAACACCTCCCCTCCTGGTTCCCCTTCCAGAAGCGCGCAAAGTACTACCGCGCCAAGATCATCGAGATGATGAGCAAGCCGTGGGAGGAGGTTAAAGCCAAAGTGGTGCGTCCTCCCTTCTTGCTTTGCTTTCACCATGAGTTCGTAAGGCTGACGCGTCCCTTCCTTAGCTGGCAGGAACCGCAACCGAGTCCTTCTGCTCGATCAACATGCAGAAATTCGACGACGGGACGAGCAAGCACACCGAGACGCTCATCAAGGCGACTGCGGCGGCGTTGTATGGCGCTGGTGCGGATACCGTGCGTCCCTCCCTCCCTTTCTTCTCCCTCCATTCACCCCCTTCCCTTCTCTTATATATACTAACTAACACAAACCAACACAGTCCGCCTGCGCCGCACACTCCTTCCTCCTCGCCATGCTGCTCCACCCCACAATCCAATCCCGCGCACAAGCCGAGCTCGACAGCGTCATCGGGCACGACGACGACGGGCGGCTCCCGAGTATCGCGGACAAGGCGCAGCTGCCGTATCTCGCGCGGGTGGTGTGGGAGGTGTTGCGGTGGGCTCCGCCCGTGCCTGTTTGTGAGTTTTTCTTTCTTTCTTTTTCTGAGAGGGAGAGGGATTGAGCTAATGGATGAACAGCAATCCCGCATCGGAATCGCGCCGACGCAGAGTTCGATGGGTATCTAATCCCCAAGGACACGATGGTGCGTTTTCTCGACGTTTTTTCAAGTTTGCTCATCGATTGATACTTCTTCCAGATGCTTGCATCGCTGTAGTACGTCTTCTCCCCCTTCCCCCTCATCTAGTATCTTATCTTATCCCAACACAGCTCCATGTCCCGCGACCCCGAACTATACCACGCTCCCGAAGA